AATATTAAGTGATTTAATCTCATCTAATCATCAGTATTGTGTAAAATTAAAGGTATAATATTAATAATTAAAAGTATGACAATAATATCACTATAAATTGTAACAAATTACAAAGTGGATGAAATTAAAACTCCTTTCAAAGATTTATGTGGGCCTAAACGGGTGAAATTAATATAGTGCATGAAAATTGAGTAATAGATCACTGAATTGCCATATATGGATCGCAAAAACCCAGTAGCTTCAATAAAATAGCACAAAATTTCAAGGGTTTTGGTTTTACCCGTGAGTTAAGACATGAGAATAACTTCGGGATTCGATTCGTTCAGATCATATTTCTTTACTTAATAGAGAGTTGAGCTTTCTTAATCCATATGATTCTAGCTGTCTCTTATTGGATTATGATTATGAATGAGATTAAATTACTGACCCCATTTGGGATCCCAAGTTCCCATTGGAACTTGACTTTTTCGCAAATCGCATGGACAAAGGGCAAAGAAATGGGTCAATGCAACTGCCATGCATATCTAGAGTAGGTAATACAATATATGCCTTCACATGTGCCAAAGCCTTCTTATTTGGGGCATTTTGCATTGATGGAGGAGGGGTATGGTTCCCCAAGATTATTACTGAAATGGGACCATTTTCCTAAGGCATTGTGGATTTGCCGCCAAGAGTGGCATAAGATACCTTAGCCCAACATCATATTTTGTTTCACGGGGGCAATAAAACCAAGAAGTTGATGCAACATCTTCTAAGCATGAAATGTTAGTTTTATGTATTTAGTACTATAAAATTGGTGGTACTTTTATGTCCAATTCCATTCCTCTTATAAATCCATTTAGCCTACGTTGGGTTTTTAAATAAGTGTTGTTCAAGTAGATTTTGTTAAAAAGTATTATAATGTATAATATGATAAAATCAAAATGAGTTATAGTCAAAAAAAGTTGTTTTAAATGCTACATTAAATAAATACATAAATAAAAATATGCAATTAGGAGATCAAAATCCTTTAGTCTTGATGTAAATAATTTGTTTTTATCATAGTAAGAATAAATGGTGTGAATGAATGGGGAAAAAGGAAGATTTTGATGGGTTTAGAGCCTTTGCTTTGTTTGCAATGAAAGCAACAATAGCCGACCGTTTATTGCTTGTGATTTTGGCTTATTTCACTTTGGACAGTACGAGGAAAATAAAACATCAATACGACTCAATACAAGTGGACATTGCACTTTAAAAATTATGAACTTCTCATCATAACAAAGGACCACCACAATGCTTTTCGAAAAAAAAAACAAAAGACCACCACAACCTCAAAAAGTTGAAAACTTGCTTACTTTTAAGCAATTATTATCACAAACACTATGTTTTAAGTTCAAAGATTTGTCTTGAAACCAAATAATGTTGGAATCCATGGTGTTCCAAAATCCTCTCATTTTATTAGATATCAATTAATCTCTTAGGTTAATACAGTGCTTTATCTTGTTTTTAAGAAGTGTGTCAAATAATAGAGAGTATAAGCAATAATTTTCATTAAAGATCTTTTATTCAAATCTTAATTAAGATGAGTAAGAAAAACATTTTTAAAAAAAAAGAAAGAAAGAAAAAGAAAAAAGGGGCACCATTTTGTACCTGGTGCATGCATATCTTTCTCATTCTTCCTTGAATGCAAAACTTTTCCTTTAAGTAGGGAGGAATGAACCCGAGTACATGTATTGTTGCAAATATTCTCGTTAGAATTTGGCTTTCATAACGTTATCTTTAAAATAATAATAATAATAATAAATCACAATCTTGTATGCCTTGGTATTCACTTCACCACTTTGCTGATTTTCAAAACGCAGGGTCCTTATATTAAGAAATTTTACCAGTCATTGGCCCTTAAGAGTTTCGTGTGAGGGTAGAAATTGGCATTGTCAATTTTGTTTAAACATGTTTCGAAATTTGTTTTCTTGACAAAAGTTTCACTTGGGAGAGAAAAGAAGCGGTCAATATCACAATTTTCTTAACGCAAAATCTTATTTAAATTATAGAGAGTGTTAATAAAAAATAAAAAATATAAAAAATATTAATAAAAAAAACATGTAAAGCACAAATAAAAAGTTTAGCTTCTTTTTTTTTTTTTGATATTAATTCCATAACGAGAGGTAATTTTCTTTCATCTCTTATCCCACCTCACTTACATGTCATACGACTCAAACTCAAGATCTCTTATTTTCAATGGAAAGAAATTACTACTAAATTATTTAAATCGTTAATAAAGTTTAACCTTTTCTTAAATATTGCTTAAGCAAATAATGTCTCCACCTGCCTAATACTAAAATGGGAAAAGGAGATTTCAGATGGGGACTGCCAAGAAACTTTAGGCTTGAAATTCCTTTGTATTGGCGTTTTTTGTTTTTTAGTCCCAAAAAGTTGTTGGGCATAATCAAATGAATAAAAAAGAAGTTGTGTCTACATCTATACTATTCCATTTCACAATAAACAAAGTTATTTGCTTAAGATAATTAGATCAATAGATACAAGAATGAACCCCATGATATAGAATTTAACAATCAAACTGCTCCCTCTTTTCAAAATAATTGTCATCTTCTAAATGAAAATTTGTGTAAAAATAACTGTTATTTTTTAATTTTTTAAGATAAATAAATATTTTTCTTCACATTTTAACTATATTGTTATCTATTAAATTTAATTCTCTAATTTAATACAAGCGTCTTATCTTTATCTCTTTCTTAAAGATAGTAATATAGGGATGGAAAGATGGTCACTGCTGCAGAGCTTGGTACTCCCAAACAAAACTTACATCTTGGATAAAAAAAAATTAATATGTTTTAACAATTAAAATTTAATGTTTTAAAAATACTCTTGAAAAATCAACACTTCAAAAAAATTTATTAAAGATATTTAAATAATTTTATAAAATCATCACATTTAAAATATCAAAATATCTTGATTTTTATCTTTTTATTTTATTTTATTTTATTATTAGTACAACAGAGTGTTTTATAATCAAAATCATACCTAACCACATAGCACAAAAATTGGATTAATAAGGGCTCTTGATATTATGGGAGAACCCTTAATCTAATGATTGATACTTATAATTTAAATTATAAAACACCATATCAAACTCTTATTGCTATAATTGAAATTGGTGTTAAAAACAACTATTTCGACTTTAAAAAAAAAAAAAAAGAAGAAGAAAAAACAGAGTTGTTTAACAAAAAATGTTGATCCAAAATAACAGCCCTCCTCTTTTAGGCGCTGTCCCTTTTGTCGGCCTTTGAACATCAACTTTTGGAAAGCCCAATAACTTTGTTGGACAAAAGATTTGATTTTATTCAAATTCAACATTGATAGCAATTTCTCCTTTATTATCTCAATTCACGATTTACAACAGAGAGTAGTGTTATAGGAATAATTTTTTTATATTATTTTTTAATATAATTTTTACATATTATTATATAAGTAAATACATTTAGTATTATGAGTTTTAAATAAATAAAAAAAATTAATTATTTAAATGACACATAAAATTATACTAAAAAATGTTACAAAAGGATTATCTCAAAATCAATTTCCATTCACAAAATTTTCGTTCTCTCCAAATGCAATATTACATGTTCTAACTTTTTTCAACTATTTTTTTTAGATATATGAAAATTTAAGGGTAAATACATTTAAATTAGGAACATGAAAATTAGGAACATGAAGGAGTTCCATAATTAACTGAAAGACATTTCTATTTGAATAAAATATCAATGTATTAACTTAAAATTTAGTATCCTCCTATATCCCAAATAAAATTTCTTAATTAAATAAAACCATATCAGTATTGTTATCATTGTGAAGAGAAAGAGGCAACCTCTAAACAATGAAGGATGTTATTTATATATATATAAAAAACAAATATTGTCACCCAACTGTATATATAGTTTAAGTGCAAAGATAATAATCATGGTTCAAGTCCCTCAATCCTCATGCTAAAACCTCATGCAATTAAACATCATTACGTAAATCATGTTTGTATGATGGCAAAAATGAATTAAGCATGAACAAGTTTAGCATCAAAATGTTGGGATGAATGAAAATGATGATATGATTCCCTCATGAATAGCATGGATTAATCACATTTTAGCAGGAAATGTTTGTAACAAGCACAATTTTTTTTTTCTATTGATAAATTTATGTAAGAAAAAATATATATAGAAGAAGAAGAAATGCTGAAATTGTAGGTACTAAGCTCATTCCTTCATGTAATACTAGACCTAGGAGCTAGGGATGATTGGCATAAATCTTACAAGCTGAGGTTTCTTGATGCAAGTTTGTCCCTTGTATAATGTGCTGGAGCTGGAAATATGTTGGACCACTTCCTTCTACATTGTTATACAATAACTCATCTCTCATCCTCTTATACTTGGTCAAGAAGTTGACATTTATATTCTTTTCCGGGAAAAAAAATTAATGACATGTTAACAATTATAAATATATTATACCAAAAAGAATTTAATCGAGTTAATTTTTACTACCTACTATTACAAAACTTGATTCAGGGGTCAAGGTCCTGAGTCAAAGGTCTTCAATTTCAATAGCTAAGCATTCTTAACTTAATTGCACATTTAGAAATGTTTAAGTATACCTTGTGATGGGATATGACTTGCAAAGGAGTTCATTGCACACAGTTTTATACCCAACGCTATAAACCTTGTACAAGTATAGTTAAGGTAAACCAGTGAGATCCTTTCTTGTGCAAATTTGAGGTAGTGGTAATGGATGCAACTCTTCCATAGCTGAGGAAGCAATGGGAGAACTGATACTCAGATTTTTCTCTTCCATTTTTCCCAATTAGTGTCTTTTTTGCTCTTCTTTTGCAATTGAAGGAGCTCGGCTTCAGCAGCAAACCTTCGTTCCAAATGCCTCTAGAGTGCACTTTCTTTGATTTTCAGAAACAGTAACCGCAACCATTGTAACGAAACAAGTCCTTCCCAATTTGAAGTTTGCACGGCGGCGCGGCTGCCAATTGCCAAAGAAGGAAAAAAAATAGGAGAAAAAGAGGGCGGGGGACCAAAATGAGAAAGATAAAAAGTAGAGAGCAAATGTCAATTACAAGGAAAATTTCACCCCCATCATAAAAATTAAATCATCATTTTCACTCTCACCGTCCGATTAGTTCAAAACCGTTCTGCTCAAAATCTGATTCAAAATCAACGGTGAAGATGCATGGAAGATCAAGACCTGCTCCTACATCATTAAAATAGTACAGTGAGGATAGGTACAGAAGAACATTCCCAACCCTGATGTACGGACCGGAGATCACTCCAACCGGCGATAGCAGGTGCCATACTGCACAGAGCGCGCGCGCGCTCAGCCGTCCGATACGACACGCACCGTACCAACCTGTTACCAGTCGTTAACAGCACGGCACTTCTGTTCCCCACGGGGACCACTTCTCCACTATCAATCCCCATGACCTCATAAACGCTCCGTACTCATTTTCAAAATCTCCCTCCGACCTGCATCCGTTGCACCGGCGAAAGGCGAATACTAGTTTAGCTCACCTACCGACGGCGAGAATTAGTTATCAGTACAAAAGTTGACATTTGCTTTCGGATAAAAATATTAGGTAAATTAAAGTCAGGTTATTGTTGGAAAGCTAGCGAAAATTATTAGTACTCTTGAAGATGCTTTTGGATTTTTCTTAATTTTCTACGGATTTGATTTGTTTAGTGGTGGTTGTCTGCTCGATTTCGGGATTCATTAAACAAAAACTTGAATGTCACGCTCGAAAAGGTTTCAGTTTCTTTTTTTTCTTTCTTTTTTTTTCACTTCGACATCATTAATCTGTTGTACTTTTTCTTAATTTAGACTCGAAAGTGAAATCATTGCTCTGCATTTTGATAAGGATTATTTGGTGGTTTTATAGAGATTGATGGCTAGAGTTTGACAGTGGAGATGGCGAGTCTGGTGGAGGATATGGGGATAAGGTACACTGGGAAGCCGATTGGAGTCTCGACGCCGACGCCGACTTTCGGTGGAGGTAAATCGGAGGTGGTTGAGGGAGATGGAGTGGAACCGGAGAGTTTGAAGGAACAAGTGACGGGATTCCTGAAATCGTGGTGTGAGATGGTTCAGGAGCTGGGGAGAGGGTGTAGGGACATTTTGCTACAGACGGTTGTCACGGAGGATTCGTTTATCGTGCAGAAGTTGGGAGGGCCGGTGGCTAAGGTCTCCGGGCGGTTGAGATTCTTGAATGAGTTCTTGCCGGAGGATCGCAATCCTGTTCATATCTGGCCGGTTATCTTCTTCGTCTTCATCCTCGCATTTTCAGGTATAGAGTACATCATTTTGCTTGAGTTTATGTTATTAAATCATTTCTATTAACTTAAATTCACATTAACCCATGAGGTATTAGCTAAAATGTCAATGGTTTTGTTACTGATTGATTTGTTTACTATTAGTAGTCTTATAGATAGTTTTCAAGCTTCCCTGAGGAATGGAATTCGACATTTTTTTGTTATTTTCATTTATAGCATTTGAATTAACATTGTTAAACAATGGGCAGCACTGAATTTAAATGGTGGGTACAATAGCTTAGCAATGCCAGTGAAGAAGGTGCAGATTCATCCTCCCAGTGCAAGTCACATACTGCTTCCAGATGGCAGACGCATGGCTTACCGTGAATTAGGTGTTCCAGCAAACAGAGCAAGATATTCCCTAATTGCTACTCATTCTTTTCTCTCTTCCCGACTTTCAGGTTGAAAGCAAATGCTGACAATTTTTTATTTATCAAATTCTGGGATAATACAGGTTATAGACCAGTTAGTGGGTTTTAATGTCTTTTTTGAAACAGGTATTCCAGGAGTTAAAACATCATTGCTTGAAGAGTTTGGTGTATGCTTGATCACATATGATCTTCCTGGTTTTGGGGAGAGCGACCCTCATCCTAGGAGGAATCTTAATTCATCAGCATTTGATATACTGTATCTAGCTGATGTTGTTGGTGTTGACAATTTCTGGGTTCTGGGTTTCTCAAGTGGAAGTATGCATGCTTGGGCTGCACTCAGATATATTCCTGACAGAATTGCAGGTATAGCAAGCTTTTTCTTTGTAAAATTTATAATTTTGTTTTACTTACTGTTGGACACCTTTCATGATAAAAATTATGTTATTTTAAAATTTGAAGTCCTTGGAGATGGTGTTCCTTATAATTTGTAACTGATTGTTATTATAATTGATTCTTAAAATCTAGAGGATAATACTGATTGCCTCATATTTTGACATTATGAAGACAAATCTACCACAAGGACATAAGAAGCTGAGAACGAATTTTCCTTAGTAATATTGGAATCAGGACTTTAAGAGTGATTCAGCCGTAAAGCATCATAACCAACTTACATTAATTCATGCTTCTTGGGTTACTAATAGATACTGCCAAATACGTACTTCTATTAATGCATCTTAAATAAATTTCCAGGTGCTGCCATGTTTGCCCCTATGATCAATCCATATGTGCCAAGCATGACAAAAGAGGAAATGAGAAGAACTTGGGAAGTATGGTTACCAAAAAGAAAACTTATGTATTTCTTAGCACGAAGATTTCCTAAGTTGCTGTCTCTTGTTTATCGCCGTAGCTTCCTATCAGGCAAACATGGTCGAATTGATAAGTGGATGTCTCTATCTCTTGGAACAAAGGTGTGGTTTTTTTTCTCATTTCTTCTATTTCTGAAGAATCATATTGTATGTAATCATGGCTTTATCTTAATAATACTTAAATATTTCAGTTTATCCAACTGTCATTTGATTGGTGTCTTGCTTAGTTCAAGTGAACATTATTAGTGCAAGCTAGCATTCTGAGTTTCCAAGAGTGCAATTTTAGCTCCAGTGTAGAATTCATTTCCTGTTACCTACTAGACTCCTTTAGAACCAGACCCACAATTTTAGTTTGATTGCTTATGCTGTCATGATTTTATTATGAGATTGGCTGAGTGGGATTGGTAGATTCTGCCTGGGGGAATCACTGTTCCACATGCCACTCTTTGTATATGATTTTTTCTTAAACTGCAAAAATTGGCAGTTCTGATTTTGCTTTCCAGCATTTTATATATTTAGTTTCTAATGAGCCCAATTGTTGTAACACCCAGTGAATAATCTTTAAAATATGAAAGTATGTATGAAGATTGCAATTTTTTTTCTCTTTTAATTTTATAATTATTAGCCTAACAGAATCTAGATATATTCAGGATGAAATTCTAGTTGAAGACCCACTGTTTGAAGGCTTCTGGCATAGGGATGTTGAGGAGTCGATTTGCCAGGGAAGTTCAAAACCATTCATTGAGGAAGCTGTACTACAGATTTCAAACTGGGGGTTTAGCCTGGCAGATCTTGGGGTGCGGAAGAAGTGTCACACAAGAGGAATTCTCCCTTTGCTCAAATCTTTGTACAGAGAGGCAGAATGCCAATTGACAGGATTTCTAGGCCCAATACATATATGGCAGGTTTGATATATTTTACCCTGCTACAATGGCCTGTGTCATCCTATATTTTGTTACATCTTTAATAGGACTACTACTATGTTATTTTTCATACTGTTTGAGAGGTAACTTGCAGTCACTAGATCAAAAGATGAGACTTTGCTTTCTTGTTAATGTCAGCCAAGAGCTGTCATGTGGACTGGTCTCTGTTACTCGTCTTATGATTGACCATGTGATGGCAACCACCTCAAATTTCAACTGTCTTGTTGGCTATTAGAATACTTATAATTGTTGAATAGGCATCATTTGAGTCCACAAAGGCATCTTACTAAAATGTTTTTGTTCCTAATTCAATTGTGAACTTCTGAACAGGGGATGGATGATCAAGTTGTTCCACCAGCAATGGCAGATTACATAACTCGGGTTCTACCCAGAGCCGTCATGTACCGGCTTCCAAATGAAGGTCACTTATCTTATTTCTTTTTCTGTGATGAGTGCCATAGGCGGATTTTCTCTACCCTGTTTGGAAGACCTCAAGGGCCTTTGGAACAGGCAGTGGAATTGAGCAAAGCTTTCTTGGAAGGAGAGACAGAACAGCAAGCATCAACTATTGCTTCTGCAAAAGAATGATGCGATTCACCAGGAGTTTACAGAAGGTTTTTTTTTTTTTTTTTCTCTTTTTTTTTTTTTTTTTTTTTCTGTTTTCTCCACATTCTTATGTAAATACAAGAGCTTGCTCTTTCCATATCTCATGGGAGCAGGAAAGAGATGTCCCAAATTTCGGGATGATGCTCACTTTTGTGGTGAGATGCTAAGGCAGAAAACTTAGCAATTTACATTTACATGGTGTCGTATTTTCACTGGTCTTTCTATGATCTGCTAAATTCTCATTCCTTAACTCTAACCGCGGCAGAACAGTAATTTGTTGGTTTCATAAATTTTGAAGTGTCATTCTTACTTATACTATAGTCAGGAAACTTAGCAGACCTACCAATACCACAAAGAAAATGGACCTGTCCCAAAGAATTAATTTAAAATAAACCCGAGTCTCTATTCCAGTTTCTGGACTCTGCCACAACATTCTTTGCACAAAATCGCAGAGATATGAATCAAGGGAACATAAATCAAGGGAGCGTATCAGTCCAAAAAGCTCAACTCTTGGCAGGGGATCTTCCAGAGGTATATGGAAGTTTAATGTGATCAGAAGGCGGAACCACTTCCCTTGCGTTTCCCAAGCAACATTTCTTTTGCCTCATTGATTTTGGATGCCAGGTAATGGCTTCCGCCTGCATCGGGATGGTTTGCAATCATCATCCTCCTATGCGCTTCTTTAACTTTGTCTAATGGAGTACTTTCTCTGGTAGCAGACAGGACAGAAAAATCCAGGCAGAGCATTAAAATAATGTGATACGACATACGAGCCACCAGATACAAGTTAAAGAAAAATCAAGTATTCCCATGAGGACCTGATCTCCATTGCTAATAGAGTCATCAGGTCTAAATACCCTTTTCCCATCAATGGAAGGAAAACGACTTAAAAACCCACTGCAACCAAACTAAGGTATTCAATTTAGAGTATTTTATTTTGCAATCCAATCGACAAAAAATAAAGATGGTTCATGGTTGGATGGGGAAAGTCCTTCAATATCAAAAGACTCGCTTCCCATCTAACAATTATTGTTATATAGTCTAATACAGTTTAATATAATAGTTTTTGCTTCTATTTATTACTTATCCTCAATCATTTAACAATAAACTGGAAGGAAAGACTAGCATCTTTATTTCCTCTCTCCCCCAATTCGCTCACTCTGACAGATTATAGTGCTAAAATACGAATCATATGTAAGGATTTAGCTCTTGATTTCAATTCTTTGAAATAGCACTGGAGCTATCTATCAAGCACAAAACTTAACATAGATTTTACAGTTGAACAGAAGATGTTAGCATTACCTGACACCGAGAATCAGAGCTGCTTCTCTCCTCGTCATGGTAGACTGAAATCCCCCATCATAAAATTTGCGGACTCTAGCCATAGGTGGTCTTGCCTGGAATGCCTGCCATGCCCGGATGCCAAATTTACCCGCATAAGCTGCAGCAGCAACAGCAACTCCTGCTATAAATGCAGTAGCCTGATTCTTTCTTAGTCAGATGGAGCTCATTGCAATAATTCGGTAAATATAGAAAATAAATTAAGATTGAAAATTTACAAGAAGAACTTGTTAAAGATGCAGTTTAGGGGTTCATTCAAAGTTTTCAATAATAAATTAAAAGGTTGAAAAAGGAAAATTTTTCACTGCAGCAATTAGGCCAAATTTCTTCTTAATTATTAACAAACGCAGGAAAAAGAAATCATCTCAGAATCATAAACCGTAACAAGAAAAAAGAGCTGATCTTTTTGCTTTGCTTAAATTACAATACCTAGATTCCTAGCCAATCCAGAGGAAAGAGAATGACGAGAAGATGAAGGACTCACCATCTCTGGGTTTTGCGATTTGTTCCGAACACCGATTAGGGTTTTGCAGTGAAATTGGACGTTTATTTCTGTTTATTTCTGAAAATTAACTAAGAGATGGCAAAAGAAAAGGAAAATTAATTAATAAAATAGATAACTTGACGAAAAAGAAAGCAAATAACCAATAGGATTTTAGCAGCATTAACGCAACTGTGATTAATAAAACGACTTTAAGTTGGTTTTGGTTTCTTGCTCGACTGCCTTTCCAACTGTGATTAACATAACGATTTTAAGGCACTCTTTTAAAAAGGATAATGTGATCTCTCTCTCTCTCTTTCCCCATGATTAAAACTTTTGACTCTGTATCTGTGGCATTTTGATTTCTGCAGAGACAAAATCAGTTGTCCAAGTTGAGACAAGGCAAGAGGTATATTATATCACTAGTTAATCCCAATGAATCCCAATGAAGTGACTCAACCATTAAAAGATTGAGATTTTAACTTGGAGATCTCAAGTTTAAGTCTTAAGTTGGATAAGGAGAAATTTGAGAATAGGAAATGATTATTCTCTCTTATATAACCCATAATCAGATGTACTAAAAAAAAATATTATATCATTAGCATGGTGTTTGTTACATCTATCTGTTTAATGAGTTGTGAACCTTTAATTTTGCCTGTTTAATTGAATATATCCTTTTCTTTTTCCAAGACGAACTGAGAAAGTGTATCCATTGTTTCTGATGGTTGATATGATGGTTATTTGATTGTGATTAACTGGCATCGTAGGTAAATACTTGTTCACATTGTGAAAACTGTTTGTTATCATGTTAGAAGAAAACGGAAGTCAATGACTAAGGTTCATTGTAAGAAATTTCTGTCTAGGTCCTATGATCTTTCTACCAGAACAAAGTGATTTTCAGGATTACAATCTTGAATAGGGTTCTTTTCAAAGTAGATAGATCATAATCTTTTGGCAAATGAAATAATGTAGTTTACAATCTTAGTGCATTCACAACTTCTCATATGGCCCTTTTTTTTTTCTGTAACTTTTCATATGGCTGGAGTTTAGGAATTTTTGCATTTGAAATTTACTTTTTAATTTCTTATATTTTCATGCTGTTAGGAATTGGCAAAAAAATGCCCGTTTTGAACAAATATGGAGGAGCAGAACGAGGAAAGAGGAGGAAGTAGATGAAATGTGTCATTTTTATGAAGTTGTTCGTGTTGATTTTCAGGAAAGCTCTAATGATAAGAAAGAGCAGCAGTAAGTTTGTTTTTGAGATTCATTCATCTCTAGTATTTATAAAGCTCCCTTTTGACAATTTTGTTACTCCGATTTGGGAGCAGAGATATGTCTTTGGAGGATCACAGAATCCTAACTGGCTATTTGCCTCTACTGAGAGAGTTTATTCCAAGTGCTGCTGAGGAGATTGAATCCGATATCCAAGCTCACATCTCTAGTCAAGGTTGTGCTTTTAACTTGTTTCATTAAAAACTAAAAATTACTGCATACAGTGTGGTGTCCTGCTGCCTCACCCGGTAATAGCTTTACACGAGGTGAGGCAGGGAAGGCTGACTGCTCTTAGTTAAGATGATATCTTGTTTTTGTAGCAGTTTATCTTAGTATTGGAGATCATTGATTATTTTATGGGGCCCCTTTAATACTTGATGTGGTACTTAACAATTTTAATTCTTTTTTTTTTTATCTTAACAATTTTAATTCTTGAAACCTGCTTGAAGGGTTTTTTTTTTTTTT